TTAGAAAAAAGAAATCAACAGTTGTCAGATTTGAACACTTAAGATAGGATCATGGTGCCTTAGAAACCATATCTGGCTACTCATTTGTTTTACAGGCCAGAGTGTAATCTATCTTCATGAATGTTCCATGTGAGCTCAAGAAGAATGTGTATTCTGCTGTTGTCGGATTAAGTATTCTATAAACTTCAATTAGATCCAGTTGATTGATGGTGTTGTTCAGTTCGACTATGTCCTTACTGACTTTGTGCCTGCTGGGTCTGTTGATTACTGACAGAGGGGCTGGACTCCCCAACTGTAATTGTGGATTCGCCTGTTTCTCCTTGCAGTTCTATCAGCTTTTGGTGTTGTGTTGTTAGGCGCATACATGTTAAGGATTGTTATGTCTTCTTGGAAAACTGATCTCTTTAGCATTATGTAATGCCCTACTTTTTCCCTGATAATTTTCCCTGTTCTGAAATCTGCTTTGTCTGGAATTAGTACAGTTACTCTAGCTTTCTTTTGGTTCGCATTAGCATGGTATATTTTTCTCCATCCTTTAACTTGTAATCTGTATTTGTCTTTATATTTAAAATGGATTTCTTGTCTTTCCCAATATCGGCTCTGACAACCTCTTTCTCTAATTGGTATATTTAGACCATTGTGGTTAAAGTGATTATTGATATAGTTAGATTAATATTTGCCATATTTGTTGCTGTTTTCTATTCATTGCCCTTGTATTTTGTTCCTAGTTTTGTCTTCCACTCTTCCTTTACATTTTGTGGTTTTGACTGAGCATGTCCTATGATTCCAGTTTCTCTCCCTTTTTAGCATATCAGTTGTACTTTTTTTAGTACAACTAAATATCGCTAGAGCTTGCAATATCCATTTATAATTAACACAAGTCCACTTTCAAATAACATTAAACCACTTTATGGGTGGTGCAGTTTCCTTATAACAGAGTATTTCTTCCAGTTCCTCCTTCCTGTCCCCTTATCACCACTGTCAGTCATTTCACTTATTCATGCGCTATAGTCATCCAATATATTTTGCTATTATTATGTTAATCAAACTCTTATCTGTTGGATCAGTTAAGAATAAGATCTTAGATCTCAGCTTATCAGTTTCCTCCTTCGAAAGGCCTTCGTTAAGTCTGGGTGAAGCCCACCCCTGTGCGTCTTGAATCATAGAACTGATCACGCTATCTCTTCCGCTAACTCAAAATGTGTTGAGGGACAGAATCTTGTCAATCTCATTGCTGCTGTAGCCTGTAGCCAAGCAGGCAGGCACATTGCCCATTTGAATATGCCACCAATATCCTGGTTTGAAACCCAAAAAGAGAACTTTGAGTAGCTTCTCTCTGAACCTCAATGCAAATTGCACTCACTAAATCTCACTCCAGCTCCCATCACACTTGCACTGATACTATCTCGGTTGGATTTCCCGACCACACTTTGAGGTAGGTGCCTATAGATCGATCAGGTTCCCTGGAAGCAGAGCCTGATATGGGGATTCGTGGGCATGTGATTTATCGAGGATGGCTGTCAAGAGACAAGGAGTGAGGGAAGCAGGACAGGGCAAGGGAAGGAATCGAGCCAGGATGTATGCTCAGATGGACTCTAACCATCCTGTGATCCCACAGGAAGCTCTGGAGTATGAATGAGCCACAGATTTGCTCAGCCTTGAGGCAGAAGACTGGACTTTTGTACCTCTGTATCAGTTAGTAATTGGCCATGGGCTGACTCAAGGAGAGGAAAGGGATGTAAACATCTGGGCATTTCCCGGCAAGATGGCTCCCATCAACCAAAGGCTCCCCGGAGAAGGGAGAGCCTGTGAGCTGTTAGAGCCTCCATGCCCAGGAACCAGGGGATGATGCAGTGGCCCGGTAATGGGATCTGGGTTGACCAGGGGCAGCACTTACCAGAGTACCCACAAGGAAGCTGACTCCGAAAGAAAAAGCAACCTGCCCAGCGGTACCCAGATAATAACCATCAGAACCAGACTTCAGACCCAGACAGCCAGACTCTGAGTCCCCAACTCCACCTGCCCAAATCCAGCCCCACCTACCACAAACTAGTTCTGGTTGCTGTTTGACAGGGCGGCCTGCTTCTCAGAATGTAAAATCTCTAGGGGCAGGGAAGCAGCTAGGAAAGCTCTCTGTGGCCACTGCATTGCATGCACAGCCTTGAGAGACTGCATAAGGAGTAGGGTAGAGGTGAGAATTTGGGAAGCTGAGAGTCCACGTCCCAGCCTCCATGACTGCTGCTGGGAATGGCAGGTGATGAACTTCTACTCTGCTCTGCCCAAAGTTGGGGCTCAGGAAATCTGCCTGGCCATGACACAAAAGCCTGGATGGTGGCTCCTGTGGACAATGAGACCAAGTGCCCTGCAGAAGAGTTCCCAGGCACTGCCCACTCAGAGGCAGGGCCTCAGGGGGCAAAAGCGGGAGGCAGGCTGGAGACAGGAGGGGAAGGGGCCTTCGTTGAATACACCCCATGGGCCAGACTTTTTACTCCTGCTTTTCATTTTTATTTTATTTTATTTTTTT